GCTAGAGTGGGAGGTGGGGGCACTTCCGTTCCAGACCTCCAGGCCTGGGGCTGCATGCATCTGGCCTTTGGCCTGACTTTGCTGTCCCTCAGTTCTTATTCCCACAGATCTTTTCATGATACACCCCTGTGACATGAGGTTATGTCTTTGTTCCTTGAATCCCAGTGCTGGGCATATCGGATGGGTGGATTGGTTAGTTCACTGACATATGCATTCAAGAGGTCTAAGTTCTTGCGCCAGAAAAATCTCCCTGAAAAACTGTACTTCCTTGGATGCCAGGTGGCTGGGGTGGCCTCTGCCAGTCCCTCTGCCTCAGCCTGGGTCATGTGGTCTGAAGCAGAAGAGCTACTTTGTTGGGGAGATCCTAGGTGAGAAAATGCTGGCTGCTAGAGCCTGCTTGTCCCTAACTTTGCTCTCGGGGCTGGGGCCGGACATGCTTGTCAGAAGTGTCTTCCTAACATGGGCCTCTCCAGGGCCTGTTTCTCCTCACACCTCAGTATGCACCCATAAAATGAATTTAGACTAGCTGGATAATTTGAATTGTTTTAGTAGCAGAACCAGTTTTCCACATCTATACCAAAGTGCAATATTCAAAACATAAAATGTTTATGTTTCATAAACATTTTATTATTTCAAATTTATAAGCTATACCTATTTAAAAGGTGGTCATTAAGACCCACATAGCACAGCAGACCTCTCCTGACTTACCCACTGCTCTCCCCTCTGAATTTCAGTCATTCTGTTTGTTCTGTTCCACACTCTGGTGGATCCACTCCCCCACCCCAACATACCTCTGACCTGTACCCCAGTTCCTGAATGCATAAATAAATGAAAGTTTTTAAAGGCAGTCATTAAAACCCCCTGAGTCTGTGAGGATGAACAGGATAGTTGCCAGTTTACACCAACCTCTGCTTTCCATTTATTTTCCACCAACACCCCCATTTATTCTTTTACTCTTTTTTTGGTGGCACAATATTAAGAAAATCAGGAAAATCCAAGTCAGAGTTAGTGTTTGAAATAGTAGTTTTCTTCTAAGCTAACCTTGCAATCTGGATACTAAAAGAAAAATAGTAGTTTGTTTTATTGTTTCCAAAATTAATCACTGATATTAATTAGGATGAACCACGTGTAATCGTCAGTGTCCCACCACAGGGACCTAAAAAACAGTAAGTTTGTGTAATGCAAATAAGAACAGCTAACATTTATTCTCTGCATGCCAGACCACAGGCTCTTCTATAGCATGAGTCATTCAATGACACCTCTCCAGTGTGCAGATAAGGGCGGGTCTACGGTTGCCCAGGGAACCTGGGTTTGGCCTCTCAGGCCCAACCTGGCTATGGGAACCTGGGTCGCTGGACCCCCTCTGAGCAGGAGAAGAATAAGCTTCTGTGCCCCTGGCGCCACTGTGCCCCAAGAGCTGTTTGTTTTCTTAACGGGGTTAACCAAACCTGAGCAGCAGCGTCTGCAGGCAGCAGAAGTCCTGCCAGTGAAAGGGGCTTTGTGTAGTCTTAGCAGAGTGGGAAGGCTTGCAGGCAGCCACAGGAACAGGATGTGTGTGTATTGAGAGGCATCTTTGTCCCCAATCTTTCCTGCTCCTGCTCTAGCCTTGTCCTCATCTCTAGTCTCCATGCAGTGGATGGGTGTGACCTGCTCCCTGGCAGAGCTGCCATAGGAGTCATGAGACAGGTGTGAGCAGTGCATTCCCCAACTAGCAGCATTCACAGGGAACTTGTGCAAAACACACTATCAGGCAACACGCCAGGTCCCTGCATTCAGAACATGAGGATCATGGGCCCTATAGATGGCGATGCCCACTGAAGTTGGGCAACTACTGCTCTATAATCTGACATGGAAATACCCAGACCAAAAAAATACTACCAACTAGTACTTTAACTTTTGGCCCTCCCTGGTGGCACAATGGGCTGAAGCTCAGCACTGCAAGCTGGCTGCAGAAGCCAGCCACTTCAGTTTGATTCTGATCCTCAGCCCCTGGAGTGATCCACTTCTTTCTGGGCCGGGTCAGACCTCTCCTGACTGGCCCGCTGCTCCCCACAGCAGTGTACTTCCTCAATCTGCTTGTTCTGCTCCCCATTCTATCTCTGGTGAATCCACTCACAACCCCTGCACCTCTGGCCCGCACCCCAGTTATACATAAATAAATCTATAAAGGAATGAACGAACAAATAAATAAATACACAAACAAACAAAATAATAAAGTAACTTTCATTCAGAAACTTGGGGAACAAATTCAAATGTTAAAATTATGCCATCAAGCAACTGATTGATTCTAACCTTAGGTCATTTTGACGGCCTCCACACCCATTGCCTAGAGTCTGGAACTTAGCATGATGTTCATAAACTGAGCTGGCTGATGCTTAAAATGTACACAAAATAAGCTTTTCCTTTAACCATAACAATTCGGACAATCATGTCATGTGTTCCTCTTTATAAGATAACAGGCTCCATTGCTTGTTTTACCTGCCCACAGATAACCCTTAAATATCTCTATGAACCATCACTCATGAACCCTGTGGACTAGGAACTACAGACTTACTGTCAGATGCTGTGTAAATCAGTTGCATCAGATCTCCCTGCACAACTGGTGATGGCAATCCATTGACTCCAGGGTTATCAGGACACCTGAAAATTCAACAGATTATTAAAGTGGACAACAATCTACAAAAAGGGAGAGAATGTGTGTGGGGGGTGGAGGGGCTACATGTGCAGCTAGGAAGAGAAGTCCTGGAGGCCTTCCTCTGAGACCCCCTGGCAAGCACTGCTGCCTTCCTGTCTCTCTCCCAGCACACACACACACACACACACACACACACACACACACACACACACGTTCTCTGCTGGTTTTCCCCATTCATTCATATCTTTCAATGAACATAATTTTTTGGCACCATGGAGCCAAACACTGGACTGGACAGGCCAGGTCCCTGGCCTGATGGGCTGTGTCCAGGGCAGAGTTGGGGAAACCAAGGGAGACACACGATAAAGGAACAGTACTCCTGTTTGGAATAAGAGCATAGATAGTAATGCACTAGGGTAATATGATGGAGGTCAGGAAGGAAGGCCTCTTTGAGGATGTTTTAGGCTTAGAATTGGAAGAGAAGTCCACCAGGGGAAGAGCCAGAGAGTCCTTCCAGCAAGAGGAAACCACAAGTACTGAGACTGTCACAAGAAAGAGCTTGCTAGATTTGAAGAACTGGAAGGTCACTGTGTCTAGAGTCTAATGTAGGAAATGAGATGTGACTTGGAGGCCAAGGAGTGAAAGAGGCGTCATTTAGAACTTTGTAGATTTTGGTGAGGGAGTGGGTTTTGTCCTCAGTGCAGTAAAAGGTGTTTTTTTTTTTTATTTATTTATGCATGCAGAACTGGGGTACAGGCCAGAGGTGCAGGGTTGGTGGGAGGCTTCACCAGAGAAAGAAAGGGGATTGAACTGCTGAAGTGGCCTTAGCTTCTTAGTGCTGTGCTTTAACCCGCCGCGCCATAGGGGAGGGCCTGAGTGGAAGGTTTTAAGCAGATACTGTGACAGCTTGTGGTGCTAGGTATAAAAGGGGCCTTACGTGAGGGAGGAAGGAAAGGAAAACAGATCCTTTAGGTGGGTGGTAGTAGAGAGGAATGCTCATTAGGATGGGTGACCCAAAAATCTAGAAGGTCTGAGGATCCTAGGAGATAGCAGGAGCAGGGGAGCCCTGCAGGTAAAAGGAGTTGGGTCCCCTTAATGATGGGCACTAGGGGAGGAAATGAAACCCCAGCACTTCCGCTCATGTTGGTCCATTTCCCTTCCAGAGGACCACAACAGGATCTGGTAAGACTTACTGATTCTGGAGCTCATATGAGAAGAAGTTTGGGGGAAGAAAGTATGGGATGCAGTGTTGGTGACACCACCTGCCCCCTTTTGGGGTCCTCTCAGTTTCCTTCTGAGTGTAAGGTGAGAATGGAGATTTTCTGTTCCATCTCAGACGCTCCCCTGCACTAGTGGGGGAGGGGTGAGTCCATTGTTTCCTACCCCCAAAGACAGTCTCTGCTTCTTCCAGCCCACCAGAAGGCCCTCAACTAGGTGTGACTTCTTAGAGGCTGAGGGATGGGGCCCTGGGAGCTGGGGTATGAAAGTTATGGACTGAATCCTGCCACATACCAGGGAAGACCCTGCCGGGAAAGAGGTGGGCAAGAGAGACCAAGTGCTACCACCCAGCATGTTTTCCCCCATTCGTGGCCCTGTACACCATCACCACCCACCTACGCTGCAGGACAGGCACTGCCTGCCAGCTGCCACTTCGTCTCACCTGCTGTGCTAAGGGTTTAACACAGATCCTTTCATTCCATTTTCATACACTCCAGTGGGAAAAGAGTATTCCAATTTTGCAAACAAGCGTGAAAATTAAAGAATACGTAATCTGGTCCCAAAGTGAAGCTGCCTCTTCCGAGCAAACTGGGCCTGAAAGTGGATAGGGCTGAAAGAATGGATAAAAAAAAAAAAAAAAATGGAGAGAACAGTGGATGCTGGAGCGCTTCACCCAGCGCTGCCAGGATTCAAGCTAAACCTGAAGAAAACGGTGGTAGAGGCGCGGCCCCGGAGAAGTGTGAGGAGCTGAGGCGCCTCAGAACGGCCCCCGCGGGGGCCTATGGCCGGTCCGCCCGCCCCAGCTCAGAGCCCACAGGCCCCAGTCCCTAGTTGAAGCTCAACAAAGAACAGGTGAAAATTTGAGTCGCCCGCCTTCCCGGCATCAGCGGGTGCTCAGTAAATATTTGACAAGTGGGCGCTCAGTAAATATCAAGACTCCGCGCCGAAAGGTCCCCACACGGGCGGCGGCCTTTAGAGGCCCGGGGACGGCGCCGGCTCCCACAGCCCAATCAGCCCCTCACAGGACCCCGCGGGGCTGGGGAACGCCCGGGGGCGGGGCCGGGGGCGGGGCCGGGGCGGGGCCGGGTCTGGGGACCGAGCCCGCCGAGCTTCGACTCCCCAGCGTCCCGCGAGGAGGGGCAGGCACCTGGATGCTGGAAGTTCACATCCCGTCGGTGGGGCCCGAGGCCGAGGGGCCCGGGCAGAGTTCTGAGAAAGGCCGCATGGTGAGCGGGAGCACTGGGTGGGAGGGCGCGGGCCCCCGCCAGATTTCCCTGCGCCCAGGGCAAAGGGGACCAGGTGTTCCCGGCTGGGGCCCCGGAGCGCGGCGGGCCAGGTTATCGGGGGACAGCTTGCGTAGGGTCTTGGGCGGCTGGGCTTTGCTAGTCCCCGGGACGAGGTCCATGTTCAGGAGAGGGGAGCGGAGCAGCGGGCGGGTCCGCCAGCCCGCCCCAGTGTGTGGGGATCGTGGGAGGGTCCCGGAGCGCGGAGGTCCTCCAGGCCGCTTTGTACAAGCCTTCGAGCGCGGGAGGGTGGGTGCGCCGGGGGGCTGGTCCTCACGCGCCCGGGGCCGCTGCCCGCGCCCGCAGGTGTTCCGAGTGGAGGTGCTGTGCCGCGGGCGCAGACACACGGTGCAGAGGCGCTACAGCGAGTTCCACGCGCTGCACAAGCGGGTGAGGCCGTGCGGATCACTCACTGACCCCCGCCCAGCTCCTGCCAGGCCTCTGGGAAGCAGGCAGAAGAGCTGGGCTTCCAGTCCGGGCCATCCCCATTACCACTTCTGTCCCCGAGGGAAGGGTTTCTGGTCCTGGGTAGGGACCCCCGGCGCGCTGCCGGGAGGGCTCAAGTCCCAGCCCCACTGCCCTTAAGCCAGAGTGACCGGCCTCCTGTCAGGCTGCTGGAAATGTTGGGACTTCTCTGGCTCCTACCATCAATCACCCTGGTCTTATCTGAGCAGAACTTTCAGAAGTGGAGTTGGGGAAAGGTGACCAGATAGGGTGGGACTGGGGAGAGCTCCCTTGGTTAGGATGAAGTAAGATTTGGGGCCCAGTTGCTATGCTGTGACCCCACCGCGGTAACCTACTGGCAGATCAAGAAACTGTACAAAGTGCCCGACTTCCCATCCAAACGCCTGCCCAATTGGAGAACCAGAGGATTGGAACAGAGGAGGCAGGGCTTGGAGGCCTATATCCAGGTGAGCATGGGTCAGCTGGGTTGCACTCAAACTGCTGGACTAGGGGTGTAATCCAGAGTTAAAGGAACCTGGGAAGGGCCCACATTTTGAGCATGTTATTTTCTACCCAAGCATCAGTTTTCTACAGAGGGTTGGGTCCAAATAACCCCACTCAGGATCGATAGGATTGAAAGAGGTAACCAGAGTGCAGGTTAAGTGTTCCCTGTTGAATGAAAGCTAGTTTTCTCCCTCTCCAACGTGGGATCTTGATCCTCCTGAAGGAGATGAAGGTGAGGACCCAAATTTGCCCAGATCTCTTCACAGTGAGGCTGATGACAGGCTTGGCTGACTTCTTGGGTAGTCACGCAGAACACTTTGCTTTAATGCTCTCCTCTTGCTGTTTTGTAGCTTGTCTTCATTTTGGAAGGACCCTGCATTTTCACTTTGCACTGTGTGATATGCATCACCATAGTTGGGTCTGATTATGGGTGTCCTGTCTTCCTTTCCAGGGTGTCCTATACATGAACCAGGATGTGCCTAAGGAGCTGCTGGAATTCTTGAATCTTCGTCACTTCCCCTCAGACCCCAAGGCCAGCAGCTGGTGGTAAGCACCTTCAGGGACCATGACTTGGCACAGTGTTGGGGAGGACAGGATCTCACCTCTGCCAGACCCTCACCTGGTGCTTCTTTGAAGACGTGATCTCCTTTGTCAGTTTTCTTGACCTTGGTGAGGGGGTTGTTTACTGGATAGTTTGGTTACCCTAGCTGCCTCCAGGAACTGAGCTTGTTACAAATAGAAACAGTGGTCTCCTGGGAGGTGAAATTTTGGGCCTCTTTGTCTCCACCCCTTCCTCACAGTTCCCCCACCCTCCCCAAGCACTCACAACCTCTCTCTTCTTTTCAGCCCCCTGGGGGAGTTCCTGCCTAGCGACAGCAGGCAAGTCAAAGCTCAGCCAGCACCCAGCTCCTGCTGCCCCCTGGTGGCCATATACCAGGAGCCAGGCCTACAGCCTCTGGCCTGTCCCTGTGGCCCAGGTTCTCCTGTTGGTGCCTCTCCACACACTTCCCACTCTTTTGGGTCTGTGGTGATGTCAATCCCTACCCTCTTCTCTAAAGTTCAAGCCCCTTTTTCCTTCTAGCTCTCACCTGCAACATAGGCCTGTCATCAGTTTCTGCATGGATCCCTACATTTGCACCCCTTCTCAAGGTGAGAGTGCCTCTGACCTAGAATCCGTATTTAGGACCCATGAAGTGGGGAGAGGGGAGACTTAACCACCACTCTTAGCTCCCAGGCAGCACCTCCTTTCTGCGTCCCTCATGCCATACCTGCCCTGCGCAAACCACCCCACAACCTGCATCAAGTTTTCCCCTAGAGAACAGTCATGGTGAAATAAGCCTACTCTCCACTCCTCAGCAGCTTGGCTTTGATCCAGGTCAGGGGGTCAGTTATCTGCTGCCTTGGCAAGGGTTCCTGGTCCCAAGGGGGCTGGACCTGGGTACCTTAAGAAGCTGCAGGCCAGAGGCCAGGCCCATTTTCTGCAGCCCACCACCTCTTCTTTTCCTTCTATCCCACAGAGCTTCTGCCCAACATGGTGGTAAACGGCGTGCTCCAAGGCCTCTACAGCTTTAGCACCTGCCCAGCTCAAGTCCAGCCACAGACTCCCTATCACACTGTTTCTTTGCCACCAATACCTTGACCAGTCCAGAGGCCTTTGGGCCACCTGCCAGGGAAGTCACATGCCTCAGTGCTATGAGCCCCATGTAAGGGACATAGCTGCAGTTTCCTTTGGCCCAGGATTTACCTGAGGCTCAAACTCAGGTGTACTCAGTAGCTAGGGGTGGCTGAACCCCTGTGCTTAGGGCAGAGATGATAGCACTAAGAAGTGAGAGAAAAGGAGACATCAAATTAAGCAGGCTGTGAAAGTATGGGTGTATTTCATAACTAGGAAGAAGGGGGCAAATAAAAGTTGAGTCACAGTAACAGGTAAAACTTAGAAGGGGCAAAAGCTGTTTGACCTTTTGTGTGTAGCATCTGGGGCAGAATTCAAGCTGGAGGCCAAGGAGGGGTAGGCCCCCGTTGCCCCTGGAATCCTAGATGTGCTGGGACACAGAACTGGGGAGGGCGCTATAGCCCCAAGAACCTAGCCCTGACACAGGTTTTTAAAAAAAAACCCACCTTTTATTTTTTATTGGGCAGCATTGGTAGGAGTTTGTTACAAAACTGGGCCGGTGGTCCCATGGAATGTGAGGGAAGGGGTCCACTCCATCAGAGGCCAGCACTCGAGCCCAGGCAGCACGGAGCCCTGTGGCGGGCTGTCTTCACTCCCAGAGGGGTAACAGGGCTGCAAGGACAGTCGCTCAAAGGGAACAGGTCCCTGGGGCCTTACTCCTTGGCAATGGCGAAGGGCTTCTCCACCTCGATCTTGCCACAGTCTGCGATGGTTACATCCTTCAGTGGCTTGTCCCGACCATCTGTCTTAGTGCTTTCCACCTTCCGTACTATCTCCTGGGAAGGAAAAACAGAAGCAGAAGGTGAGGGGTCAAGCCCCAGAGTATGGCTGGGGAAAGCCAAGACCCCAAGTAACGAAGCAAACCCGAGGCAGAGAGACTCTACTGGATCCAAGACCATTTTAGCCAGGGCAGGGAGAACCGAGCTTAGACTAGAGGCTACAGCAGTTCTGCTCCTCTTAAGTATGAGCCAGGTTGGGCCAAAAACGGGGCAGAGAAAGAGGGTGGCTGGAGTCATGGGATGCATGAGGCTGTGGGGTGCCCAGAAGGGGTACCTGCAGCTGTGTAGCCTCTGCTGTCTCCTGGAAGCATTTAGAATTTGGCAGGTCTACAGAAGCAGGCTGTTTGTTTTTGATGCCTCCAGGTGTACAGCCACAAACTCTGGTGGGAATCTGTGAGTTTACTTTTGGGAAGTGGTGCCCTAAAGGTGGAGCCCTGAATCTGCGCCAGGTGCCTGGTGAGAGGTGCCAGGTGCAGCCTTTGTCTCCTGACTCACCATGCCCTCTAGAACTTTGCCGAACACGACGTGCTTGCCATCAAGCCACGCTGTCTTGACTGTTGTGATAAAGAACTGAGAGCCATTGGTGTCTTTGCCTGCATTGGCCATGCTCACCCAGCCGGGCCCGTAGTGTTTCAGCTTGAAGTTCTCGTCGGGGAACCGTTCACCGTAGATGCTCTTACCTGGGAGGAAAGAGAGCAGGTTGGGGAAGCTGGGTCAACTCAAAACAAACAGATCTTGGGGTAAGAATTCCAGAACCTCAACCTGGCCAGGCTCAAATGGATTACCAAGATATAAAAGCTTCTTCCACCCTCTGGTTCTGGAACCAAACCACGGTGACACAGTGGATACAAGTCCAGGGTAATTTAGTGAACAACTCACTTGATGGGTTACTTTGAGAATATAGTTTTATGGCTTCTAAGTAAAGTACATTTAACATAAGATGTCCTTGCTATGGTCTGAGAGGCCTGCCAAAGAGACATTACTGGTGGAGAGAGGTGCTGGGCAGGATGCATTGTGGGGTGGGATTAAGAATGCTCCAGAAAAGGAGGGTTGCTGGGGTCGAACAGCTTTTCTTCCAAGAGAACAAGACACTGAAATAACTAGAAAGCAGGAGATGAGTGGGGAAGGGCAGGGAGAGGCAGAAAAGGAGCTGAGGGGTTTCACTTGGGTTCGAGAGTCAAGAGCCCCTTATCAGTGAATTAACAGAAAATAAAAGGTGGCTATAAATGTGTAACGTGTATGTCTGTGTGGGGTGTGGAATTGGGCCACATGACAAAAGGAGCCAGATGTCCTAACCAATTCCCAAAGCTGGCCCCAGGAGGAATACCCTACTCCTCTCTTTTGCAAACCCTGGAAGAGGTGCATTAAGTGATAAACTAAAGGCCTGAGAGACCCAGACATGCAAGTCATTTTCATTTTGTTCTATCCATCACCTTTCAAACTTAATTGCATATGGAACTTTTCCTCCTCGATACACCTAATGAGCACCTATTTTGTGCTTCCAGGGAATGGAAGCAGTTTAGAAAATTATCTTGGACTGATAGGAATCAGGCATATTTTTTTCATGGTGTGATAAATGGAAAGATCAAAAACTAAGAACTACGAGACCTGGGCCTCCCTTGTGGTGCAAGGGTCTAAGTCTCAGCACTATCAAGCTATCGGTGGAGTTCAATCCTGGCCAGGGAGCTGACCCACATGGCATGGCAGACTTCTCCTGACCCACCTGCTGCTGCCCTCAGCAGTATACTGCACCCGTCTGCTCCCCCTTTCACTCCCACCTGGAAGGAAACTGTCAGGCAACCATTCCTGGCCAGGATGCTTGCTAGAGCCTCTTTTGACTCTCCTTTGTAAATCTCAACTAACTGCATGATTTCAATTAATGTGGCTATCCAGAAAATCCTGAAATCTACATCCTTAACTCCAGCTGTTTCCCAAAAATACAAGGAGTTCCGAACTTAAACGGATGGTTCTTCACTTGAAACTCAACACCTTTTTCTCTAGGCTTCAACTAATTCTTTTTTGATGTTTACCCTCTGCACATTGTCAATGTCCCCACCCCCATCTTCCATTCATCCTTTATTTCCATTCCTGCATGAGCCGCTTCTGAACCACTGCAGAAACAGCTAATGCTGATGGTGCTGACAGCATGAGGCAGACAAATGTGCCAAGCAGTTTACACATAGGAAAATCACACTGTTTCAAAGATGAACAAACTGAGGCACAGAAAAGTTAAAGTACCCCAGCTAGGACGTGCAGGGCTGGGATTCTAACCCAAGTGGTCTGCCTGTTGAATCTCCGTTTATCCACTAGGCCATCCTTTCCTGGGGTTTGCACGGTGCTCCCCAGAGAGCCACACTACACTAATCCCCCCCCATCTGCCTTGCTCCTGTCTCTACAGTATTTTCTCCCATGCTCCTTTGCAGTTGGTCACCCTCTCTCAGGTCTGTGCTGATCGTCACTGCCTGCAGGACCCAGGCCACCACTCTGGGCTCCTGGTGTGTGACCCAGTCACCAGACTCCATTCTGGGCTCTCAGTGTGTGTTTCTAGTCCCCAGACTCCACCTCTGGCCAAGACCAAAGTGGGATTCACACCTTAACCCTACCTCTTCGTTCCCCATTCACATTCTCCCCAGCCAGGACGCATCTCGCTCCTTCCCCGTATTCACAAGGATCACATTCACCTCCAGGACAATTGCCCGAAGTGACTCATTTGCTTGTGAGCATGCACAAACAGCTGACAACCCTGAGCACTTAGCGTGTGCCATCACTTCACACTCAAGATCTCACCTGGCCCTCACAGCACACACAACTCTTACCAACCTCACAGGAAGGAAACAGAAGGACTCACCCAAAGTCAACAAAGCAAAAAAGTGGCAGCCATGGGTCTCACCCAACTGTGACTCCTGAATACTGTGATTTGTCTGTTTCGCTCCAATGTGCTGCTATTTAGTTCTTAAATCTTATGATATCACTTGGATTTCAGTGTTTTCTCTTAGTTCTTTCCACTGAATAACACACGTGAGCCTAATCCTTAAAGCTGTTTTGTGACCCATTTGTGAATTTTCAGGTTTTGGAAGGGTGAAGGAATTATTTTGTGTCCTTATCAGCCGCCAGAGCCTGGCCCACTAAATACTCATTGATAGGTGAGCTGCAGCCATGGTTTAAGAGACGGCAAGCTGCACACCTGAGAGTGGGGTGACTATGGTCAGTTCAGGGTGTGTGTTGGTCTGTCCTAGTGTACATGTGAAGCAGAGGCAAGACTCAGCTTTTGTATTGTCTATGGTGGGAAAGTACTGCGGACCAACTCTCCAACCCTCCTCATGGCTTTCATGGTGGCTCACCCAGACGATGTTACGCTACCACAGGTTTCAGCCTGCTATCCTCAGGTGCAGTGAGAAAAGTCACTGCTGGAGGCATGGGTCAGTAGGTCCAGCTAGACAAGATCCTTTTATGTCCCCCTCCACTTTAGCTTGTGTCCCCTGTACAAAGAAAGGTGTACTTGGTCTCAAGGCAGATGACAGGCCTGCCTCTGGAGGTGAGGAAGAGCCTTGTTTATCCAGCATAGTCCAGCCCTTCAGACAGAACCTCTACCCAGACCTGGGGTTACCTCCAGTGCCATCTCCCCGGGTGAAGTCTCCACCCTGGATCATGAAGTCCTTGATTACACGATGGAATTTGCTGTCTTTGTAGCCAAATCCTTTCTAAAAAATAAGGATGAGAAGGTGGGAAGGTATTATGGGGTAGCAGATGGAAAAGTAATAATCCCTGCAGGAACCCCATGCACAAAAACAGCTCACACCAAGAGACACTACTGCCAGCCAGTTTCAGACACTACTACTGAGTGCACAGCTACGAAAGGCCAGGCACGGATCACACAGGTCCGGAAAAGGCTGAGACTCCACATTCTCTGCCTTTATGCAATTCCTTTGTATTTTATAAGAACGGATGTAAGAAAAAATGTCCCCAACTTCTCCCAAAGGGTGACACACTGACCCAATATGAAGTTAGAAAACAAACTTTCTTAAATGGGGCATCTGACTCTTAAGAATAAACTCTGCTTCAAGGAGCACAAATGTTTCCATAGATATGTTCTCTTTGGTTGCTGCAAGGTCTTAAAGATGAATTTTTTTCTCAATGCAGAAGTTATGATAATCCTGAGCTCCCAGTATCATAGGATGGGTGAGCCAACCATACTCACCATTTTGCTTTCTGAGGTGAATACCTCTGTCTTGGCCACTTACCTCTCCTGTAGCTAAAGCCACAAAATTATCCACTGTTTTTGGAACAGTCTTTCCAAAGAGTCCGATGACCACCCGGCCTATATCTTCATCTCCAATACGCAAGTCAAAGTACACCTGAGGAGAAAGATCATTTTAACTTGGCATCTTTGCGGGTGGGAGTGATGGTGGTGTTGCTAGAGAAGGGTGGGACCCAAGATGCTATCCTAAGGTTAGGAGAGAAAACAGTCCTATTTTGAGAGCAGTGGTTCTGAAGAGGTTGACAAAAACAACAACAACAAAAAAAACAAAACTAGGAAAATTTAATAATTTTCCTGGAAAATGTTTACACTCTCCTTAGACTTCAGGATAGCAATCTTTGCTGTGAATAAGTAAGGGTTCCAGGTTCTAGAAATGAACACAAAAATGAGCATAATAAAGTGGTGCCTAACCTAACCAGCACGTTTAAAACTAATTGCCGTGCCCAAAATTTGGCTAAGTAGACGTGATTTTTCACCGTTTCCCCAGCACAGCGGGTCAACTGCAAAAAGGCTGCTGAAGCTGAGAGTGCCGGTCCCAGCTGGGCCACCAGGGCAGGGCCTGGGGAAGAAGGGGAGGATGGGGGGGGGGGGGTCGTTCTCTGAATGGGGGCGGCCGTCCCCAGGTCACCGCTAGGAGCCTAGCGAGGGGCTGAGCCAAAGACAAGGACGCCCAGGTCCGAGCTCCTGAAGCCCAGCGGCGCCGAGGCAGGACCCCAGGCCTCGCCAGGAAAGTGGGAGAGGGGGAGGCCGGACCTTGACGGTGACTTTGGGGCCCTTCTTCTTCTCATCAGCCGCAGAGGGGCCTGGCAACAACAGGAAGAAGACAGAGCCCACGATGACGGCGGCGACGAAAAGCACCTTCATGTTCCTCTCCGACAGGCGCAGCATCCACGGGAGAAGCGAGAGCGGCCGGGAAGCCGAGAGCCGGAAGAGGGTGGGGACGCGGCGGCGTGGCCAGCGGCGCCGACTAAGAGCAGCCGTGAGGGGAGGCCGGGGCTTCTGCCCAGCTCCTCGCCGTACACGGGCCTCATTTCCCCCCTCTGAATTGGCGTCTGGTGGTAGGTGCCGCCGGGGGGCGGAGCCCGGCTGGCCTTGGGGCGGGCGGAGACGCGGGCTCGTGGGTGGCTGCCACGTTAGTGCGGCCTAATTGGCTCCCCGGTTTGTCAATGCCCATCCACGGGCAGGGGGTCAGCGAAGGCGGAGCCTCCTCAAAGAGCACGGAGATTGGGCTGCTGAAGAGACTACAAACCCCAGCATGCATAGCGGCAGGTGCCGCGCTGCACGTTCGTGGAAGTCTTTGGCGGGTCTTGGTAGGCACTTCGTTAGAAACTCCCTCGAGAGGGGCGAAGGGCGTTTGTCGTCATCTGTTGGACCATTCTAGCATGAGTCACCACCAAGCTGGGTGTAAGTGTGGCAGCTTACAAAAACTCAGGGTGTTTATATTTACCCGGAGTATGACCTTACTCAGCTGTTTAACGCGTCCTGCAAATCTTACTTCAAAAACCACTGTTTTTTTTTAAACCTTCGTCCCTGTCACTTTATTATCCAGTTTTCTCTCCTTTGTATGATCTTATTGTTTACTGCTGTAAGAGTCAATGTACACTTTATTGTATCCTTTGATTCTTAACATGCTTACCTGTTTCCCCAAGTAACTACAGTGTGTGTGTGTATGTGTGTGTGTGTGTGTGTGTCCAAGGGACTGTATTGTACTTAATTTGTATACAGCTATCCCAACACGGCTGTAGAGCTCAGTGCTCCAACAATATTGGTTAGCACTGAGGTGGGAAATACATCCGAACTCCTAGAAACCTTCAGAAACATCCTATCAGTCATCTGATACCACCAAAGTACTATTTCAGATTTTCATGCCCAAACTTGGTGGTGTTCCAGTCTACAATATATATTTCAATACTGGGAATCTTGAACACCAGAAAAGTTACATCCATTTTTTCCCCTAGAATTTGAAGCTATGTGTGCTGTTATTAAATGTCTTTAAAACTGATTTTCCTTTAAAAATTATTTGTGCATCCAAAAACACTGATTGGAAAAGATACCTGCACCTCCATGTTTATTGCTGCTTTATTTACAATTGGAAAAACATGGAAGCAGCCCAAATGCCCAAAAGTAGATGACTGGATTAAAAAGATG